AGGAGCGTTCAAAGAGATCAAATTCCAATTTGTTTGAGTGGTGCGACGAGGGCGTCATAAGTTTTAGTGGGGGAGAATGTCACGATCACACATTTGGGTCTGTGATTTGTGTGCAGAAGCCCACAGAAGAGATTCTTTGCGTAGAATTGGGCTTGACAGGGCAAGCTTTTGGCCTAGTTGTTGGACAATCCTAATTCCGTGAAAGATTAAGTCCGAAGGCGTCCGAGACATGTGTACAATTATCCGTAGAAGAGTTGTACGGGTTGTTGGCTTTGCCTAGAACCACAAGACCTGACTCGTTCCTTGGAAGATTCTAGAAGGATGAGATTAACACTTAATTTAAGAAGATAAATACTTAAATTAAATATATAGTATTTGATTTAAATTTAAAATATCTTGATAGGATTTCAATTCAATTTAAGACGCTGATGTAATTCAATCTAGACCATTAGATCTAAGGTAGCTCAACTATAAATAGGAGCACCCCCTTGTCATTTGTAATCATTCAATTCTTCTTTCTCTTCAAAGTAATACAACTCAGAATTTACTTTAAGTTTTCTCTCTCGTCGCTTTGTCGTTTTATTTCTTTTTACTTAGCTTTTATAAGCTTTTGTTCCTTTGTTTCTTAGCTTTTCAACTTTGGATCTCTTTTATTCTTAAGCTATTGAGTTTTGTTGTCTATATTTGCGGCTTCGTTATCCACGACAGTGTTAATATTTCTACAAAGTAGTTTAAGGCTTGCGGGTGTGTTTAGCTCTAAGTGTGTTAAGCTTTATCTTTGTTAACCCTAATGTTTGATCACGCTTAGTGAGTTCAAGTTCTCACAAGGACGTGGTTAAGGTTGACTTAGGCGTTAATTCATTTCAGAAAGTGTACAAGATCGCACGATCGACTAATCGACACTCTAGTCTTGTGACACAAGTTACACTATAGCAGTAATAAACCACAATTCCTTCATTTGACTGATGAAAAAAAAACATCCCTTCCAAATGTGTATAAGTTGGATTTTATTATCCATTTATTGTATTCTACTTTTCAAAATAGGCAAAATGAGATAAAATTTGTGATCGAAGAAAATTAATCAAGAAAATATGAATCAAACAAAAATTATTTAAAAATTATTACGAACGTTTAGTAATCGGTAAAGTTGTTGATAGTTGTCAATGATTTTGTTATTTTTTTATATTTTAAAATTGAATTGTAAAAAATTAAAAGTATAGGGATCAAATAAAATTTTAAATTATTCAATTATATTGGTGTTTGAATTATATATATAGTCTAAAACTTTAAAATATCATAATTTTATGTACCATTGTCCGATTGAGGTGATCTTTTTTAATTTATATAAATTTTCAAGATATACTCGGTGGTTAGTGGGATGATAATTAATCCAAATCAACGGATTTTGACCAACACAATCTAATAGGGTCAAAATTAAAATAAATTAGACTCGGTTCAAGTCGAATGTATTAAAGGAATGAAGTCGGGTCGGGTTCGGTTAGAGGATAAAAAACTCCGACCCTATCCGACCTAGGGGTAATAATATAATTTCTTCAAATAAATTTATAGATAAATCCTATAATATCCATCTATCTATTATATTTTTTAATTAAGTCTTTATTTTATATCGGATCAGGTCGGATCAAATTTATATTCTAAAATTGCGGATTGGGTCGGAGTAGGATGAAAGACTTATATTTTTCGAATCGGGTCGAGTGGAAGATATATATTTTTCGGATCAGATCAAATTCGGATGAAAGATATATATTTCTCGAGTCGGATTAATAAAAAGTCGACCCTACCCGACGGTTGTCATCCCTAATGGTTACGTGCCTTGTCTCCGTTTTCTTTCATAAAAATATCGTTTTTACATTTAATTTTGAATTCTTAAATTTTTATCAGTAGTTTAAATCTTTAACTTTATTTTTTTTGTAATTTGTATGACTTAAAATTTTAGTGATATGTTGCTATTTATAAAGACTTGATACGTGAAAATTTACTGTAAAATTTCTAAAATTTTCATTTTGATCTTTATAATTTTGTTTTTTTAATTTGATCCTTGTGGTTCAAAAAAATTATAACTAAATTAAAGTTGTTGACAACTGTAACTGACTCTGACTTAACAGATGTCATCGACTCCGACATTATCACAGTTAAAGGGAATGAAGTCAAAAATTTAAAATCTCTAATCGATACGAAGATATTCAACATTACACGTACAGTTTCATGCTTTCTAAATTTTTATTTGATCTATGTAATTCTGAATATTTTAATATTTTTAATGTTATGGTTAAAGTTTAAATCAGTACTCCAACTTCATAAAAGATTCAACCTAGTCCTTAGATTTTCTGAAAAGATAATTATATTTTTATGTCATGTTATCGTTCACATTAATATAGTGTGAACCACCAGATCAATATTATAACGATCGAGAATAGTTCATAGGTGAAGGGCATTGTTTAAACTCAGTCTTCATAAGATGAATAAATGTAATGGAATGGCTTGATCTCAAGTTTCGAGAGGAAGCATAAGCTTCTTAAGGTTGGCTCGGGTACTACCAGCAACAAAGTAATAAGAACCATCTCTGTTTGAAGCCAATTTGGCGAAGAAATTGGATGTCCAGAACAGTATGAATTGGATTGAAAAGTTCATTCGATCATTTTACAAAGAAAATTAAGTCACATGACAAACCTGTAATTTGTAAGCCTAAGAAACTTGATATCGTATGGTGTTGTTCAATTTAAAGGAGAGGGTGTTCCAGAAATCCTTTCATCCTCCAGAAGTGCATAAGGGTCTTTGTATTGGGGTGGGGAAGCAGGTGTCTTACTTCCATCATGAATGAACGACGATCCAAAATACTGCAACGTAAATTTATCAGAATTCGGATCGAACTCTAGCGATAACCAACAAACCCAAAGCTACACGGTTAATGGAAAGGGGACTTACAAAGTAGAGAGCAGAGAAGAATGCGATGGTTGAAAGGATCAAAGGCCAAAACCCAAGGAAGAAAGTTCCTCCAAGGGTTAGCAACAGTTTTGCCCGAGGAAACAGCCCCTGAACCATGAAATAAATTACTTAATCAACCGGGGATGTACTAAAGGAAGGTGGCGAGGAGAGTCGCCTCTTAAAAACTTCTAAAATCACGTATAATATATACATATATATATATTTCTCTCTAAAATTATGTATCATCACGAACCTCAAGAATATTACAAAATGTACCAACCTCGAGAATATTATGAGTGCAAAATCATAATATGAAAATGTATCAACCTCAAGGCCTTCACTATTCAAATCCATGGAGCGCTGCCTTTGATTAGATAAGCTTTTCTCATAATCAGTTGAGACAGCATTACTTGTAGAGAAACCGGTGGTTTCTTCCCCAATTTTCATTTCATAATTGGCTTTTTTTGGCATCCTCCAGCAGTGAAGCGGGAGTGGTCCCCCTTCTCTTCAACTCCTTCATAAACAGCGACTCGGGGGGTCTCCTCACCTACTCAACAAAGATATCCAAGCAAAAACAAACGAATCCCATTACGAAATGTTTCATCCTTTTCCAATGCATTCTCGAAGCTTTTTAATTGGGAAAGTAGAATGAAAGATGCGATTGAAGAAGTTGAAGAAAATACCATTGGTTTTGTTGTCACCTTCCTGAGTGGCAGCACAAATTCTACATCTTTGGGCATGCAAGCTTCTTCTACAAGTGTTGAAGTTGAGAATCTTCCTCGTCGAATGAAATCTCGAAATGGAACACAAAACGGGGCTCATCATCTTTAGAGAAGCCATCCTGTCTTCGCTTTATTTCTCAGCATTAAACTCGTTAAAAAGGAAGGGTATTCTTTCAGTTGCTAATATGCACGGGGTGGTTTGTTGAATTTTGTGGCTATCAGTTGTGGTTTCTGAATATTCATGAAGTCGGCCCACACCACACAATCTCAAAAAAGATTCAAGAAATTCTAAAACTATCCCTTTGTAACATCAAATAATCTATTTTTATATCAATTTTTCTCCTACGCTACTCAATTGCGCGCCGAAAATGAGTCGAGTTTGAATATTATCGAGTTCGAGTCAACTTAAAAACTCATAAGTTTAATATTATCAAGTACTTCGATTTAAACTTAAAATTAAAATTAAAGTTCAACTCGATTTGAAAGCCTGTTAGCTTACTATCTTCAAGTTCAATTCGAAATAAAAAAAAATTGAAGCTCGAGCTAAAAAAATTTGAATTCGAAACATACTCAGATTAGCTCGATTGAAGCTCGAACTCAAGTTCGGTTCAAGTTCAAACTCGAATTCGAACCTGAACTTTAAGTATATAAAAGCCTTATACTATAATTATTTTAAAAAATTACCTATAAATGTTAATAGTATTAATAATAAATTAAACATTTAATATATTATTGTTTCAAGTTGTTCGTGAGTTTTTTAGTCAAATATCAAATAGTTCATTTCGACTTGTTAAATATTAGAGCCGAGTCTTCGAGTCAAATGTTAAATCGAATTTTGACTTAATCAAACTCAATTAACTCACAATTTATCTCATCTCATTTTACTATCCTAATTCTTATACCAGTTGATAAGTTAATAGCAATGTCTTATTAATTATGTTTAAATTAGGGATGAGTGGCAATGTGTCGTGTAGGATATTTTTGCTCATTTAAACTCAATAAAAAAATTAAATATTTTTTATTTGCAGTTGGCTCAAATCGGGATTTAAAAGAGTTATACCCGATCTGAAATTTGATCTTTTTTTTGGGTCAAAATCCGCATTAAGCTTGACCTATATAATTTATTTTTATTAGATAAAATAATGATTTAATTAGAAATAAATATTATTACGATTATACCTAAATATATAAGAGATAATAATTTTTTCATCATAAATTTGACCCGACTCAATCACGTTCTTAGAAATATGATCTTACCCAATCAAAATTTTCAAAATAAAAATGATCTGACTGAGTCAGATTGGATCGAACCTCGTCAGGTCAGGTGAAATACTCATCCCTAGTTTAATATCTATCATTCTTGGTTTCTTTTTACTAATAAACTTGGTTCAAAATGGATCATAACCCACAGTCTGAAGCCTAATATTTCTTCCCCTACACAACTGTCTTCACTTGGATGGACTGAAACGCACTGCAATTTGTATGGTTGGGAGCTAAATCCGACACCACCATCACAACATCTCCGTGTTTCAACATCCCTTTTCTTCTTATCAGCTCCATGGTCGTCGAGACGTTTCCCTCCATGTCATCGTCCGACAGATCAACGAGGACAGGAATGACTCCCCATTGAAGATTCAGAGCCATACGTGTGCCACTCTCACTTGTGAAAGCAAATATGGGAGGGTATGGGCGGTTGCGAGACAGGAGAGATGCCATTCGTCCATGCTTCGTGTACACGAAGATGGCATCCACGCCAAGATTATTGGCTGCAGGGAACGAATGTGCACGATCAGAATCGGGCATGACATGAATAACCATCTATGCAACACAAATGTATCTCTGTGACAGCATAAAATGGCTTAAGGTAAAGCTAATGAGGATATGTACCCATTTCCACAGCACAATTGCAGATCTGCTCGGCAATGCGATCGGGCAACGAGACTCCAAGTGGGCGCTGATGAAAAATACTTTGCCGGTTTTCCTCCCGGCTCCATAGTTCCATTCGACTACTAGCCATCTGTAAGACAGAGAGAGCCTTCTGCCCGTGCAATCCAATAGCTGACTCACCGGATAACATTAACGCGTCTGCATTTTGCCGAACTGCTTCTGAAACATCTGCAACCTGAATACAGCACAAAAGAAAATAAACAAAAAAATTCACCTAAATGCCAGTTTCCTAAGATGTTTTTCTCACAACCAAATATCAACAATAAAATCATCTTCGAGTATGATATTACCTCAGCTCGTGTTGGGGTCGGGTATTCAACCATTGACTCAAGAAGTTGAGAGGCTACAATTACCGGCTTGTTAAGTTCTCGGCAGACGCAAGTTATTTCCTCTTGAACTGTTGGAATCTGTTCGTAAGGGATTTCGACTCCGAGGTCACCTCGAGCCACCATGATCCCGTCACAAGCCTCTACAATCTCTTCCATATTCTTTAGTGATTCCAAGCTCTCAATCTTTGCCAATACCCTTGTCGATCTGCGCACGGAAAAAGAAAATTTACTGCTTTTCTTATTCCATAAAATCAGGCGGTGGTAATATACAGACCACAATGATCACTGAAAACGTTTACCTGGATGACCTCATGTATAGATAGTTCTTCAACTGCCTGACAGAATCAGCATCATTGACGAAAGAGAGGGCGATAAAGTCGACGCCTTCGGAAACTCCAAACTCGATGTCAGCCCAATCCTGTAGATTTGATGATATACGATACATGTTTACGAGCACTAGAAAGAAATATATTGCTTTTGATATCAATGAAGTTGGATTGGCTAAATTGAAGCAAAGCACTATGTCCACACCAATTCAATGACTCAAAAGTGACAACACTATCTGCTATGGTATCTAAGAACAATTCCAAAATCAAGCCTGCAAACCAATCATAATGAATCGAACCTTTTTCGATAGAGTAGGAAGCTCAGAATTCCTTGCTACAAGCTTTCCATCTCTCCAAAAGCTAAATTTGGCACGAGGAAGAAACAGACCGGAGTCCGAACACCGACAACACAGATCATTTCCGACTTTCTCAGTTACTTCAAAGCTAGCCATACCACCATCAATGACAAGTACATCACCCACTTCAATACCTGTCATCCATACAACATAAGAATTAATCTTAAATAAGAATCTCACCATTAATACTTGGATGAATTGATCATGGCACCAATCAAAGGTACCTTCCGAAAAACCGTCATAGCTTGCTTGAACTGTAAATGGAGGGTAATCCTCAAGCTTCTGAGTAGTAAATAACCAGATGGAACCTTCCTGGAATACCAACAGGAAATCAAAAGGACTCCAAATATTCATGTAAACTGCATAAACCATAATGGATTCCATGGCCATGGAAAATAAAAGAAGGGGGTGAAAGGGATACCTCTGCTTTGACAGAAGAAGGAGCACCATGATCGAGCACATGGATCTGACTACCTTCGGTGTCGATCATGATTGAAATACAGAAACCCTTTTCTTCATTCAACTTTTTGATATTCTTAATCACATCAAGGTGCCAATCCCTTGTGTTGTGACACATGTTAAGCCTGGCCACATTCATTCCACCCAACGCCAGCTTCTCCAAATCCTCCGGTGAAGAACAAGCCGGCCCTATGGTGCAAACAAGCTTTGTTTTCCTCATCCCCAAGAAACCCTTTTCTCTCAACTCCCCCTCCGATACTGCATCCAAACCCAATTCTTGTTTTGCTTCCTTTACTTGCTCTAAACCACCGATCTGCACTGCTGCTGCTGCTTTGACTTCAACCCTAAACTTGCCCTTCGTTTTACCTTCACTGCCTATAGTCCTCCAAGGTACAACCTTTGCTCCTGGAACTTCATTTTTCAGACCGAATTGTGTGACCCTGTTGGTTGAAAGACCGCGACAAAGAACTGAATTGCTGGTCACTGATGCCATGGCTTGAAATGACAAAAACCAAGATCGAGATCGCAGTAATTCCAATGGGTTTGTAAATTAAAGCTGGATCAATGTAGCGTAAAAAATTGATTAGTTGGATTCTAAAGACGTGTAAATCACCGGTGATTGGTTATTGGTTTTATTTTATTTCATCGACTCAGATGAAATATGTGTCTTTGGTTTGATAAATAAGCGGACTTTACAAAGGCGAATGTTTCAACTTTCGAAACAGGAAATGGTATATTTAATGAAAGAGATACGACAAATGAAAAAACAGTGAACTGTTGGACGCATTCAATTATTTGAAAAAAGAAAAGCTTGGCAAATGGCAATAGCAATAGCAATAGCAGCAGACGAAAACGGTCAATTACCAGGTGAAAGGGCCCTAACAGCGCAGCACATGTAGTCACTTCTCTGCAGAGAAAGTTGGGGTAAAGCTATTGAAGCATCGGGCTTTGGTGACCGGCTCGGTTTATCATTTAAGAAAAGGATCTAATCACGATTTTCAGAGGGCTGATTTTCTCTCTTTGTTTCTTCTGTTGCAAATAATATACGGACAGTTACGTACGCCAGCAAACATGAAGTGAAATACTGATATTACCACAACACAGGAGAAGAGAACAGAGACGATGCCATTGCATGTGCCAGAAACGGGAAACTTGTGGATTGCGCAAAGTTTTTTTTGGAGCTTTCAATCGCACAAAGTTAGAAGGTTGTTACTTGGCTGCAATTACTGTTGAAGAATATCTTTAAAGACAAACAGTCAACCGGAAGTACAAACAAAATCCAACAAAAATGTTAATAACTCTATCAACCAAAAGAGAGCCACTCCGATTCCTTGCCACAACAAAAAATATATGTTCTCTTTGAATAACATGTTAATTTCCATGTATACTGAGAAAACTGGATATGGTCACAGCTAAAAAATTTAAGCTTGCGTCCCTTTTTCCTCTTTCTTGACCATTATAGCTTAGATTGGTGTTGCATAACTTTGGCAGCTGAATATACAATCTTGGCATCACCTGCAGGATTGAATGGCCATTTACTTCCACGTTTAAATAAATATCCAAGTTGCAGATTAATGCTTAAAAATACCCAAAGCAGTAATGACGTAAAATCAAGGATACCTGTAATTGTTTCCAAACTAAATTGAGAAGGTACATTGCTGTCCACCTCAACCGAAGCTTTGGCTGCAGCAATACCAATTGCTACACTCTGCATCACATCTAAACCTGCAGAAAGGGATGCAAGCATTCCACCAACTAGGCAATCACCGGCTCCCGTAAGCCTTACTACCGAGGCGGAGAGTGCAGGAAAATGCACAGCTAAGAAATTCGGGCTTCTCTCGAGAACCTTAGAGTCAGTGCACCAATTTGAAGGACTGCTGGATGTCATAGTTTCAAATAACTGTTGACTAAATCCATGTCGATGTGATTTTTCCAAACCAATTCTCCAGGAGTTTGGTTCCCCTTTAGTGCATAAAATTACACCCTCTGAACCAATAGTCAAAACAAGAACTTTGACACCTTTCTGAAGCAAAAGCCAGATTGCTGGTTTTAGCATCTGGAACAAAGTATCCGTAGAACATTTATTCTTTTCAATTGGACAAAATAAGTTTTCAGAAGATAAAGCATTTGCCATTGCAATTAGTTCATCTTCATTAGGTGAAGCAAAAGTTATCTGCAAAAAAACTCTTGATTAGTGAGCAACAAATTGCAAGAGAGTGATAACTGCAAGGAAAGCACTCAACTGTAACTTACACAATGTATCAATGATTAATACAAACCACACAAAATGAGTGCACTTACATACTCCACAATCGGAGCAATTCTTTTAGATTTTGCAATTGATACAGGTTCAAACCACACTGGGATATTTGACTCTGCTGCTACTGCAGAAAAAAGCCAAACGAAAAAGTGATAAACAAAAGCTGTAATAGTTAACAGAAACCAAAAGACCAACCCAAAGGAGGAGAAAATCTAAAGTGGTGTTTTAAAAAGTACGTCGGCAAGAAGCTTCCAAAGCAGGACGACTCAAATTTGCATCAACCATCAATATAGGAGCAGAACGTATCATGTGCTTAAATTGTTGAATCCACTCAGGTGTAAGAAACTTTTCCTGCATTAAGTGAAAACACACAAACAGATACCTTTAAATCTCAGGTGTAGTTCTTAAAACATACAAGTTACTGCTTTTAGTCATGTATAAAACAAACAACTTCAAACTCTACTTACAACAGCTTCCACACTGGCAACACCAGCTGCCACCTCGCCAGTAACATCAAGAATATGACAGACGGTGGGAGTCTTAATATCCTGATGCCTCCTAATGCCTTCTTGAAAATCAAAATCAATGAAGAATATGTAGCAGAATTAACATGTCTCAAACAGAAAACTTAAAATCGTACGATGCCATAGAAATCCAATTAAAGTGGCTTGTCACATTAGACTATTTCTTTAGAAAAACACAAGAAGTTCCATCAAGCATATTGTATTATTTATTAGTGTAGCACGATTAAGATGATCATGCAATTGATGCAGATCAACATAGCCATCATAAATCAATAACTAATGACTTTCAATAGGAACGCTGACCTTCTGTAGGTAGCTTTGCAGATTTCCAATATTCCAACAACAAAGTTCCTAGTAAAAAACGAAGAGAAATTAATCTCAAGTAATGGTGGAGAGAATAGGCCAAATCCGGAGGTCAAAACACATAATTTGAAGTAAACAACAGTGGGATAGATAAGTATATATATTTGTGTCTCAGTGAGCAAAACTAAATGTTTCTTAATGTTCCTGCACCAAGATTCCATATAATTCAGATAATTACATGATTTTCAGGACTACCAAAGAAGCATTTTCCTTAGGAAATCAAAAGGCTGCATTAGAGGAAGTTATAAAGAAAATGACCTGCCATGTCAAATCCCGAAACACTAATGAAAAAAGGGCCAGTTCCAAGCTTCCCCATGCATTCAGCTATGTTCCTTGCCACACCTCCTTGTACATAATGTACCTAAACAATTATTCATTACTTTAATAACTCAACAAGGAGAAAAATTGGGGGGGGGGGAGACGGTAGACAGACCTGGCCGGGACAAGTGGTCCTTGGATGAGGAGGAATTGAAGAAGTGGCTTGAATGTCCAGAACCATCCCCCCTATGACTACTGGGACTGCCTCTCCATATTTCCCTTGCTTCATTTTTTTCTCCCCTTACTTTCCACCAGCGTTGATCACTGATCAGAATTCCCGTTGACGTCTGATATGCTTTTGGGGTTCCAGAAAAGGGGGGAGGGGAATCTTTGACCCAAAACTAGGGCTTCAAGCTCAACAGTGAAAGAAAAAAAAAAGTCACGTTTGATCTCATTTTTCAGAGTTTTGCCATTGAATCTGTAAAGCGTGAAAGAATCTAAAGACATGACATGAATTCAAACCTTTTAAACAAGATGGAGCCTCTTTATACACAAACAAGCAACGAGACAAATAAAAAATAATCTAAAACGCACGGAAGAGCAGTAATGAAACTCAGCAAAAGAGCAGGAAATTAGGGAAAATGAAAAACAAAATAACAACACTTAGTGTTTGAATCCAGCGATGAAAGGAGGAAGTTGCCTTTCCGGTTGAAAGCCCCGGGTAGATTTTGGGCCATAGTAAATTCCATAATAAATGAGTTCTCAGCTTTCCAAGTTTTACTTTTCCTCCCAAAATAAACATTTATAACTTTTGAATGTTTCTATTTTGATCTTATAAAATTTTTATTTTGGACACCAAACTTTTGATTTTTTTTAATTCATCACTCTACTAATTCTTTAACATAATTTTATGCAAAAATTAGTGAAACTTTTTCTTTGTAAATTTATGTAAAAAAACCTTTAAACATTAATTTCCCTGAATTTCTTTTTAGACTCATGCATTTGATTTAATAATCCCTGTTGACTATTACGTGAATAACAAATAAGTTGTTATTTGATTGTTAGGGATAGTATGCTAGCAAGGCAAGTCTGGTATAACCGTATAGATTGTTCTAGCAGGTTTTTGTGAAAGCCATATATACGTGGCTCTTGGTAAATGAAAATATAAGGCATTTGTGCTAATCAAAATTCAATATGGTATCAGTAGCCTTGAGATCCGAAGGGTTTCGTCTTCTATAGCAATGTCTTTATTTGGTTTTCTCGTATGGTCTTCTTCGTGCCATGGGTGATCGGGAAACTTCCTCGACATTTCTCCAGAAGGCGTTCACCAACAAAAGAATCAGTGCAGTCTTAGATGATCGTAACTTCTTGTTACGAAAGCATCAAATGCTTCTAGCTGTAAGAGCCATAGAATAGAGAAGTTCCTTATCAGTGCGTTCACTACTCCTCCAGCGGTGGTGGCTTTATAGGATGGGACGGTTGTTGAGAATGAAGCTTATGAAGTGTTTGTAGCCCAGAATAATGTTCTTGCCTCTTGGCTCTTGTCCACGATGTCTCCCTCGATTCTGTCGCACATAGTTGGTGCTGACACCGCCGCACAAGTTTGGTCCACTGTTACTAAATTATTTGCGAGTAAGTCTACGACAACGATAATGACATGCATTATCAGTTGGAAGCTATAAAAAAGGGGGAGTTGATTATGCGTAACTTCATATCCTAGGTTAAAGAACTGTGTGACGCTATTGCGGCCTGTAGAAGTCTGGTTTCAGAGTATGAACAAGTAGCGATGATATTTAATGGGTTGTCATCCGAATATCATCTGTTTATTGTCGTTATCACTGGGAGCAGGGAGTCGTTCACCTTATATGGAGTTGTTTCAATTCTGGTTGATGCAGAGGTTTAACAGTGTGGTTTTGAGGAAGATGACAGTTTCTCTATCAGTGCTAATATGGCAAAACTATCGATGAGTTATTATCCAGGGAAGGGGATGGTCAAAGCATCTGGGTTCTTCTGTTTCGTATCAGGGAGGTCATGGTCGTGGTAAACCCCGGGTTCAATGTCAGTTGTATGGAAAGGTTGGCCACTTAGTCGACATGTACTGGTATCAATTTAACCAAAGCTTTCGTGGGGTTTCTGCTACTTACAGTAAGGCCTGGGCACCTGTCAATCCCCCGTCTGCTAACGTATATACGGTTACCTCTATTCATGGGTGTGGTTGTGTTCACCAAGGATCTTGGGATGGTATTGTTTCTTCTATGATGGTTGAGTGTAGACAAAAATCTAGCCCTGGAGGTTTTGGGGGTTTTCGCTCATCCGAGAAATGGTTTGTAGATTCCTGGGCTTCTCATCATGTAACCTTGAACGCGACTAATATTGTTACGGGTGAAGAGTATACTAGCACGAGTAAGCTCCTCGTGGGCAATGGTAATAGTTTATCTATTTCTAAGGTCGGCCAATCTAGTTTTGTTACTTCTACTCGCTCTTTACGATTAAATAACTTACTCTTTGTTCCTCGTACATGTGTGATTTCGGACGAGGATATGAGGGTGGTGTTTACGTGTCATCAGTGGGAAGGGTGGCCTAACTGTCTATGCCATAAACCAAAATCAACTACTCCATGAAAAACATTACACTGAGTAGACATATTATTATGAAACAAAGCATTTACGTGTGTTTGGTTATAGGTGTTTTCCGTGCTTTTTTTTTGTTTCAATCTCATAAATTTGATTATCGCTTACATGCTTGTACATTCCTTGGATATAGTGTTCAACATGAGGGTTATCTTTGTCTTTAACCTGGAGGTCGAATCTATATTTCTCGGTATATGCATTTTGATGAGCATGTTTTCCCATTTACAGGTCAAGTTGTTGCCACTCATCCTTATCCTACAAATGGTTTCCAACCGTTTTCCACCATTGATGTAGTGCATGGCATCAATAGGGTGCTAAGTAATCAAGCAGTCACAACATACTCAACATCGTGCCATAGTGAATCTGGGTCGTCTCCTAATCATACTAGTAGCTCCTACCATAGAGTGTCAACTCCGATGTCTTCTGCTAGAGTTACGTCTAGTGATAATATGGACGGATCCATGAGTCACACAGTCCCTCCCAGAAAAATTGACGTTTTTGGTTCCTGTTCACTCAACTGTTGCTGTAGATTTAGCTCCTCAAGTGACTTCCCTCAATAGTTCGGATATAGTTGCTACAACTGTTCTTCCTGGTTGCTATTATCGTCATTCTTCTTCAAATATTTATTATATGGTCATTAGAAACAAGGTTGGGATCTTTAAACCCAAATCCTTCTCGATTCAAGCTATTCTTGATGGTGAAGAATCGATCTCTATTAAACAAGATTTATTATCCCCTGCGTGGAAAAAGGCTGTCATGATTGAATATAATGCTCTAATTGATAGGGTACATGGTAGTTGGCGTCGCTACCTCCTGGTCGAACGACAACCGGTGTAAGTGGTTATTATGGATCAAGAAAAATATCGATGGGTCTGTTGCAAGGTATAAGGCTCGTTTAGTGGCAAAAGGTTTCGCTCAAGTTTCAGGACATGACTTTAATGATACGTTCAACCCAATTATCAAACCCTCCACGATAAAGGGTTTCTTATCCTTAGTTGTCATGAATGAGTGGAAATTACGACATGTTGACGTGAATAATGCATTCCTCAATGGGGACTTACGTAAAGAGGTGTTCATGGTGCAACCTCCCGGGTTTGAATAGATTGCTGCTGATGGCTCGCGACTTGTTTGCAAACTTGAAAAGGCATTGTATGGACTTAAGCAAGCACCACAACATTGGTATACGAGGTTATATACGTTTCTTGATCAAATTGGGTTTCATGGGACATAAGTTGATGCCTCATTTTTCATTCATTGCTTAGGAAAATGTTTCACTTATTTTTTCATTTATGTTGATGATATCATAATTACGAGGCAATATGAGACTGAAATTGAAAGCGTTGTATCGTAATTGAGTGAATAATTATCTCTAAAATATTTGAGGGACTTAAACTATTTTCTGGGCCTTGAAGTTCAGTGGATTACTCATTCTCTCATTTTACAACAAAAGAAGTTTATTCTTGAGTTATTAGAATGAACTGGAATGCGTGATGCTCATCCAGTTCCAACACCGATGGTCGTTTCTCTGAAGCTTAGCGAAGATGAAGGGATCCCATTACAAGATGTTTAATTATATAGGAGTGTTGTTGAAGCTCTTCTATATTTAAATCACATGCAACCCGATATTGCATATATTGTCAACCGTGTCGCTCAATACATACATGCACCTTGCACTCAACATTGGGTGGTCGTGAAACATATCTTGAGTTACTTGTGTGGGACACTTGATTATGGTTTAGTATTTCACAAGGCTGGATTAGGCTTACACTTGTAAGCTTTTACGGATGCTGATTGGGCAAGCAATGTCGATGATCATCGTTTAATATCAAGATTATGTGTCTTTCTTGGAGGTAATCTTGTGTCTTAGGGTTCCAAGCGTCAACGATCGATCTCTCGGTAGACTACTGAGGCTGAATATGGTATGTTGGCTGATGTTGTGGCCGATGTTGTTTGGATTCAAGCCTTGTTAACAGATATGGGGATTTCATCCTCAAGCACTCCCATTATTTGGAGTGATAATACGAGTGCAATAGCTATGAGTACCAATCCTATTATGCATTCTCATTCGAAACATGTTGAATTAGACCTTCATTTCATTCAGGAGAAGGTTACTACTGATAGTGTTCATGTTAATTATATTCCCGCTCAACATCAAAAAGTTGATGAATTCACTAAGCCTTTGTCCCAGGCTTATTTTTCTTTGTTTCGCTGCAATCTCAATGTCTATTGTGAAGTTCTGGAGTCCATGGACAGTAGGGAGAATGTTAACTATTACGTGAATAACAAATAAGTTGTTATTTGATTGTTAAGGATAATATGCCAGCAAGGCAAGTATGGTATAGATGCATGGAATGTTCTAGCAGGTTTTTGTAAAAGCCATATATACGTGGCTCTTGGTAAATAAAAAGACAAGGCATTTGTGCTAATCAAAATTCAATAATCCAAACACTTTCTTTTAAATTCTAATAATGAGGAAGTGTAGAAGGAATACAAAAGTAATATATCTCAATTATATGACAATCAAACTATAAAGATTGCAGATCATATTCATTTTCCTTTGATTTTTGGCTAAAATTCATGAGTTCTAAAGATATTTTTATGAAATTAAAATCATATAGTTGTAAAAAATGTTGAGACGAGATGCCTAAATCTGGTAGAGAAAATGTCATTGGATGGCAATTCCGCTGGTGGCGTAACATGGGAAACAAAACTTCAAAGTTTTTATTTTGTGGGAAAGTTGATGAAATGATAAAAAAATAAATTCCAAACCAAGTCATTTTTGGCATCAATTGACTTTAAAAATAATTTTTGAAAGTATAGTGTCCAAATTGGTTTTTTGTGTATGACTAAAACAAGAAATATGATGAAAGTTGAGTGATTAAATAAATGACTTACCCTCTTCAATGTAATCCTAAAGTAATAGTAAACATATATAAGGTATACTGGTAAAAAGGCCATCAACATTTGTCACTTTTTTCGGTTGCACCCTTAAAGTTTAGCAATATAAACCCTAGAAGTTTTTTTCAAATAAATCCTTTTTGGATAATCATCTTTTTGATGAGTTTACAGTTAACACTTTTGTTGACGTGGCATAACAATATTAACGACATAACTGGAAAATAAAGAAACCATTGAGGGGGCGTTTGTTTCACGGTTTTTTGCAATCTTGGGAGGAATATTTTTTTCCGGGTTAAGATACCCACGTTTAGATGGGCCATGTTCCCAAGTGAGGGTAAAAGGTCAATACCAACAGTATTTTTTGGGTTTGTATTACTGGGAATATTATTCCCACATCTCACCTAGGTATTTATTTATTCCCGTGCTTAATGGGCTAAAATACCCTTCTCCCCGTTAGCTTGCTTCTGCGAAAGAAAAAATTCATCTTCTTCGATTTGGAGAGAGAAACTCACAGAGTGTAATTCCGCTTCCGATTTCAAAGATCACATTGTTCGTACATTTCTCTGTAATTTGTTTCTTTGCAAAGAAACCCTAGTCCATTATGCTATTTTTCCACTCGAAACGAATTCATTTCTTCACTTATTTTTTTATTATTAATGAACATTCTGTGTTTTTCTTTGTTTAAATTACAGGAAACTTGCTTTAGAGTTTTACGGATAGAGTTGTTGCATTCTTCTTCTTTGATATCCCTTTTCTATCAGGAAAAACAGAGGAAATAAGTGACTTTTTGAGGTTTGGGTCTTTTTTTCTCATGTTGAATTTCAATAAAGTTTGAAACTTCTTATTGCTAGTTTAATTCTAGCATGCAATTAGTTCCAAAACTGTATTTCGTTGTTAATTAAGCTAAATAAATTATTTTTCTCCTTTTACTTTTGAGAATTCTTGACGCCAGACAGAATAGTGATTATCCTGCAAGCGCTCCAACAGATGATTCACAAGAGAAAATTCGCCCAAAAAAAATCCAGAGAAAAAAAAGTCTCTAGGGTTTAATAAAATATTATCAAATCAAACAATGCCAAAATCAGTCCACAAGCCGGACTGTTATAGCCAAAAATCGTCTTTATTCGAATTTTGCCAAAAATAGCAAAATCCCGAAAATCACTCTAAATTGAAATTCGAAATAAAATAAGCAATCTCCAAAAAATTCGGCCTAAATCGGATTTAAATTGACTTCCTAATTGACAATCGAAATATTACCATAAATAGTAAAAAATATCTAAATCTAGTGATTCGGAGGGGAAAACGGCAGAATTTGAGGTTGAAAAAAGGCCACATGGAGCGTAGCACAATGTGGAGAGCGTACGCGTCGAAAAGAGCTTTCCGGATTGGGGTCTTATGCGCGATTCTGACACCTGTAGCCAAAGTTATGGCCAAAAGACTGAAACATACTCAAAACGACCCCAATGAGGAACATGTCACAATCAATTCCCGCCTTTGCGCTGATCTGCCAATTCATGGTATCTCAGCGCCATCAAGGTGCAATCTGACAGCTCAGCATCATCTGTCTCGGATCCCCCTGCATCAATTCTTATCTGAATTTGTTGGATGTTTGAGTTTTTTGTTAATTATTTTTTAATTATTAGTCTTAATTTGTGCTTGAGATTTGAATGAATTCAAAACTTATTAAGTTGCTATTTGAAGTGGTTTACAATCGTGTTATGTTATGTATAATCCAAGAAGTCTCGGTTTTACGGGTGTGAAGAACATAGGCTTTTCAATTTGTTTTTATCTAAATGAAAAATAATTTAGTGCTCTTATCGAAGTTAGATTTGTAAAGCTTACCATTGATTATCGAATGAGAGTTTAGTTAATTCATGAGAGTTTAATTATAAAGTGGCACTAATCTAACAGAGAAATACATTATAAACTGTAAAATTATAAATTGTTTTAGTTCTGGCATGGTTTAGGGTTCATGAGATATCTTATAGTTGGTATAAAATCGGGAATTGATTGTTTTAGGCTTTGGAGTGGATGTGTTAGGTTTTCTATTTCACTAACAAAGAAATAAAATTATAAACTGACACTAACCTAACAGAGAAATACAATTATAAATTGTATAGGGTTCATGAGAGTTTAACTATAAACTGGCACTAACCTAACAGAGAAATACAATTATAAACTGTAAAATTATAAATTATTTTAGTTCTGGCATGGTTTAGGGTTCATGACAGTTTAATCTTTTGTTTGGCACTAACCTAACAGAGAAATACAATTATAAACTGTAAAATTAGGGTCTTTTTGTTCTGCTTACCTTTAGTTAGTTTAGTAGTTGGCGTAAACTCATTATCTCTGCTGGGACTTCTCGTAGCTGTATCCATCTGTCAAGCCAGCACAGAGGTAGGACAAACAACAATCGTTGCATAAATACATGGAAAATTGTGCATATGCTTGTGAGTATGTATTCTAGATATATCTCATTAGTTTTGATGAACTAACCTCAAATAAAGCTCCTTCAATTGTGGTAAGCTGGAAAATGTAGGATTCTCGGGTAATGAACCTGCATTACCACTTATGTCTAATATCTGGAGCATACAAATTGCTTGGAATCCACCGGATGGAATCTATGTCTACAAATTGCTCGTACATATTAAAACGGAACATGCATGTGTTAGGATACAAAAACATTTATAGGCAATAGCTAAGTATGTCCTTATATTGCACTGAATATAAACTGTATATCAAATCTTGCTAGTAGAAAGGTCTTGAAATGCACAACCTTTACATTGATGATCCATTATTGATGAAACAAAGTAGACATAACGAACTTGGCATATTTAATTTGCTACATATCTAGGAGGCAATCATGAGTTTGATTATTTTGTGCATGTACAAGCATGCATTTCTCTCCCAACAGTTGCAGATTAAAATGACGGTAACCTTGTTACCTATCTTAGGGGATTATTATCCAACTTCAAACAAAAGAGATTCGGAAGTGACTTCAAAATTGCAAGTGGCCAATCCTTAATATTGTTCCTAGATAAAACCAAATTCTGCAATTTTAAATATGAGTCAATAATGATATAGTCTGAAAATTTAAATACGAGTCAATAATAATTTAAGAAAGCAAAAAAAAAAAAAAAAATCAGCTATAATACATTAGCCACGAGCTTTAAACTTCACAAGTCTACCATTAGTTGCTCTTAGATTTTCTATAATTTTCTAAGCTTATGTTAAACTCTTGATTTCTGTTTTTAATTACTTCATAACTGTTAAATTAGTTTTCATTTATTTTTATTGTAATGAAACACAATTGTTCTTGTTCAATATTATTATGTTCTAATATTAAAATGTTTGTTAGTAATAACAGTTATGGCTCGTTTACCAATGCGAAAGAAGACACATATCGCCACAATTCTTATTTTACAACTGCAAATGATGGACATTGTGTGTCATATGCTTGTGGTTATTTCAGTTATTCTTAGAAAATATAAAAACAGACCTACAATAGGTTATGCACATGAAAGACTTCATGGACATAATATTAGATCACTTAATTTACATAAATTTGTATTTGAAAATGATAGACAAAGTGTTGATAATTGCCGAATGGATATGAGAGCATTTATCAAATTGTGTCACCTATTACAAAGTCAAGGTGGGTTAAAAGAGAGTCGATCTATGTCTATAGAAGAAATGGTTATTACTTTCCTTCATATTATATCCCACCATATTAATAATAGCGTTCTAAAACGTCAAACAGTAAGATCTGGTAAAACAATTAGTAGAGTTCTCTATACAGTGTCAGCTTCAGTCTTGAAACTGCATCTGATTCTTTTTAAAAAACCATAACCGATACAAGATAATTCAACAGACGATAGATGGAAATGGTTTAAGGTATTGTAACATAATTCTGAAATTACTTTTAAGTTAATCAGTAATGCTTAATACATAAATGGATACTAATAATGTAATTTAAATTTATTTGATAAATATAGGGATGTTTGGTTTCTCTAGATGGAACATATATTAAGGTTAATATTGCTTCAATCCATAAACCTAGGTACAGAACAAGAAAAAAATGAAATTGCGACAAATGTACTTGGTGTTTACACACCAAACAATTCATTTATGTTTTACCTGGGTAGAAGGTTCTGCAGCTGATGGTAGAATACTCAGAGATGCCATTAGTAGAATAAATGGTTTAAAAGTTCCACAAGGTCAATGCTTAGGTCATTAATACATATATATAAAAGAATGTAAACTTCTTACAAGTTTTGTATATTAATTCACTTTTTAAATTAAAATAATATAGGGTGTTACAACTTATGTGATGTTGGATACACAAATGGAGAGTGGTTTCTTGCACCATATAGAGGTTAAAGATACCACTTGAATGATTAGAGAGAAGGACACCAACCTACCAACCCTCAAGAATATTTCAACATGAAACATTCTCAAGCTAGGAATTGCATTGAGAGATGTTTTGACATATTGAAAGAGAGATTGACAATTTTAAGGGAAAATCATTTTATCCAGTGAAAACACAATGTAGACTCGTTTCCTCTTTTTGTTTTCTCTATAATTTCATAAGATCTGAGATTCCAATTGATCCTATTGAATCTGACTATACTAAAGATAATAGGCATGTTGAAGAGATTAATGAGGTAGAAATGATCAGACATTGTGAGCCAAGCAGTGTTTGGAGTGAGTGGAGAGACAAATTAGCACAATATATGTTTACTAGTTAGTTGGCGTCACATACTTTAGGATAGATGTTATTTTATGTTATGTATGGACTGCCTCCTTGTATTTTATCTAATGTTAGTGGTCATTACTTTCATGTATTTGACATCTTTATATTTTATGCCATAAACTTTATTAAAATTTTATGTATTTCTCTTCTATAAAATTTGAATTTTATTTGTTATGGACATTCATTACATATTATGTCATTCACTACATTTGATTTCTATTATGTTACTATTTTAAATTTTATTTATGATTATTATTGACAATGATGACATGTTTTATGTTATACATTTTTTATATATATTTTCTTAGATTGTTTTGAAGAGCAATATGTCAACATCAAATATGAAATCTCAAATGGGGAAACGGATAGCTGGAAATGTTAAGTCTATAGTTACTAAAAGGATGTGGACTAAACATGAGGATGTTGCACTTGTTGAATGCTTACATATTTTGGCAGAAGACCCACATTGGAAAGCTGATAATGGAACATTTAGATCAAGTTATCTATCTCATATTGAAAAGATGTTAGAAATAAAGCTTCCGACATCACAAATTAGGGCCCATCCATATATTGACTCTAGAGTGAAGCTACTCAAAAGATAATACAATGCTTTATCAGAAATGTTGAATATTGAAAGTGTATTTGGTTGGAATAAAGAAGAAAAATGTTTGACTGCACCAAAGGATGTGTTTGATGATTGGGTTAGAGTAAGTATTTTAATTGAATTTATCTTATTTCTGTACTCTTTGTTATCTACATAGGTAATTGTAAGATTTATTAAATATAAGATTTTATTATATTGTAGAGTCATCCAACTGCTGCTGGATTGAGAAACAAGTTATTTCCATTCTTTGACGATTTTGTTCAAATATTTGGAAAAGAAAGAGCAATAGGAACAGTAGTTGATGCAGTGGAACATCTTGATGTTGAAGACAATGTATTTATATATGCATCTGTTAAAGAGAGATATTGAATCAAGAGAAGATGTTGGTGCTTCAACTTGCCAAACATCTGATGCTACTGCCTCTACACCTGCAATGAAAAAAGTAGCTAGCAAGAAAAGGTCTCGAAGTGATGATGGGTTAACCGAGCTTGTACATGAGATAAGTAAGTTTGGTGCTGCATACCGAGAAACTGCCAAAGAAATTAAGGATATTATTACTTTATTGAAAAAGGAGGCAGAAAGAAATGATTGAAGAATGTCGATTTTCACAGAAATAATAAAAATTGAAGGCTTCTCCAATGATGAAATGCTAACTACAGGAGAGTATATTAGAAAAGATGAGCACAAGGTAGATTTCTTCTTTTATTTTCCAAAAGAATTCAAAAAGAGATTATGTGATTAAGCAATTAGTTAAATGCCATCATTTTAGACCATCATTTTGACCGTGGTCCTTCTACAATTATGTCGATCTCTTTTTTATTTTGACTTTAGAATATGGTCCCAACTTTTTTGTGTAGCTTCACCAAGTATATGTCAAGCTTTTGACTTGGAGAATTTTTTGTGTATATAATATAGCCAACATATATGATTAAATTTAGAATGTCATGGCTATTATATTTTGTAAGTCTGAATATTGCTCAAACTTTTGATGGTTAATGTTATACTTTTAAGTTATTGTTCAAGTCACCAATGGGATTCTCAAATAACACACTGAAGATAAATGTGCCCCAGAGAACTCATATCTGTTTAGCACTGATTGGAACCCGAACAGGTCTTAACCTTGGTAGCAAATCTACTGTAAGTTTGTAATAATGGATGCTCAACCAAAGCTTTTGAATTTTAAAGGATACAATAATTTATAATTGTTCATGTCACGATTATATGCTGTGAAACTTTGCTGAAATAGACGCAGGTGCCTCCGAGATCACTTAGATGCATTAAGCACTTCCGATAATACAAATTTTGGTAAGAGAGAAAAGTGGAAGGTCTTTGTTTTGTGGACTCTCGCTGGTCATGATTGGCACTATATCTTTGTCAAACATTAAAACATAAATTTGCATTACTGGTATTTAGAAGCTAATATATTGATGCATCATCAATAAAACCTAGCTCATGCAACAGCATCCTCATTGGATTTATGATCGTATACAAGCTTAATTACCGTTCATAAGTCCTTTTGATCCAAGGCAACTAGGTACCTTACTAGATACATACAATATTTCTTTTGTTATTTCCAATGCAAATGTTTTAAGGTGTATTCATGACTTTTTATTTTTCTCGAGTAGAGGTATCATCTTTGTTCTGGCTATAGTTATGATTCAAGACTTTTATGTGACCATAAGCCTATAAAGTTGAACTTTTAGTTCAGATTCTAGAACTGTTTCAACTCAAACAGAGGTTTACTTGGTGCTTTGGGTGTTGGTTTTGAGTTATATCAAGGTTGAGATGTTAGACCATGGATTTTGACTTTGGGTAGCAAGCAAGGGCCATTTTGGACTCCAAACAAAGAAAATTGAATTTGATGGAAAATTGTAGGACGAGTTGTTTTTAACTTGTAGTATGTAGAGTTTATCAAATTCTATGTACTTTTGACATCTTCAAGTAATTAGATGGCAAGTGAGGCTAGAAAAACAATGCATAACCTACTAGAAATAGGGGCCTTAATTTTTTTCCATATTGATGGCTTGATTACAGCGGAAGAAGAAAATTAAGATGTTAAATTATCTAAGAATCACTTGAATCAAATTTTGATTTTTTTGGATAATTATTAAAATTACACATTAATTTTGTTAAATGCGTAAGTAATAAATAAATATTAATTATGTACCAAAAGAAATATAGAAATATTAATTTATAATTTTATATAATATATATAATTTTGATTTTTGTTTAATTGTATATATAAAATTTTAATTTAATTATACACATTTAAAAAGTAAATGCATTCATTTATAATAAAGTCATATTTGTACATTTTGGTAGGAGTAAAATGGTTCATCTATTAAAATGTTCATATGCTTATTTAGTTAAATGTTTATGTAAAATTTTAATATATTGTTATATAAATTATGTAAAATTTAATATTAATTAAAATAAAAATAATATATGACATATTTACTCTTTTATTCTACTAATTTATCTTTTAAATTTTATAAAAAAATTTATATATAAATTTTATTAAAAAGTATATATATATTTATATTAAAAATAATAAAGTAATATATTCTCGATGAATTTTTATATAAATATTTTCATTTAAATATTTAGAATTCCACTAGTTAAAAAATATAGAACAAGGATAATTTCGTAAAATATACATT